TGGAGGCATGGTTCAGCTCATCTGACAGGACTGCGTCCTCAGGGGTCAGCAGGGCCTGGAGGGGGGAGTTAGGGTGGAGCCATCACCTAACCACTTTGGGGTTCACCCTCCCCCGTGACTCCCCCTAAGTCAAAATTTCAGTGCCAGCCAGGGCATTCATCTGCCTTGATTTCGGTCCCCAGTGCCCCAATACTGAGCTGGACCAGGGGCCTGCTCTTACCTCACTAGAGCAGGTAAGAACATGTTTGGTGAGTGCCAGGCCCCTGCCACCCCCAGCCCTCCAGCTGATGTAGGTTACCCCCCAGATGCTCTGGAAGCTACACTTCTTGCAAGCCCCAACATTCCTCCCGGAGCACCCAACCTTGACCTCCATAAGAAATGGGCTCTGGAGCCTCTAGGCATGGCAGTGGCACCCTGCCAAGTTCTCCTGACTGCCCACCCTTGAACCTTCCACAGCCTAGCCAGCGCCTCCAACTCCCGCCCACAGCCCCCCATACCTCAAAGAGGCCGGCGTTGGCATCGAAACAGCTGGCATAGAGGATGGCATCCTCCCGCTGGTGGAAGCGGGCTAACTTTACTTCTAGATTCTTGTGGATGCTCTGAAGAAGTGAGTGAGAAAGGTGTTAATGCCTGTGCGGCCACAAGGGACAAGTCCTAGAGGACAGAGGCTTAGAGGGCCACAAACAGACCCAACCCAGAAGGCCTGCAGCCTCAGCCTCTCCCATCTTTCTGTACCAGATGGGTTACCCCAGAGCAGACTGGAGTCTGCAGATGGCGCCCGCGGAGGAGATAAGGACTTGCTAGGTCTCCCTTCCCAGGAGGATCTTCATTTTGTAATGGGCATCTAATGGTGGAATTATGGGTACTGATGGGGAAGGAAGATGTATCCTCCTAATATCAAACTGAGTGCCTTTTTTGGTTGCCTAAGGGTGAAGAAAAGGATTACATAAGTAACTCTGGGTTCATCTGGGCTTCTAATTCTTAGATTGAAATTTGTTTGGTCTAGGTGATGGTTTTGTTGGAGAGTGCCTGGATGGGAGTCAGGAGTCCTGCCTCTGACATTCATCTCACCTGCACCTTTCTGAGAGGACAGGTAATAATAATCACAAGTAGTCAAGAGCAGGAACTATTAAGCCAAGCTACTGTCTTCAGATCCCACCATGACAAGCTGTGTGTCTCTGGGCAAGTCACTTAACCTCTCTGGGCCTCAGTGGCCTCATCTCAACAACAGGGATAAGAATAGCACCTATCACTTAGGATTTTTATAAGGATTAATGAGTTAATACCTAAAATGTTGTTAAAAAGAGCACCTGGCACATAGTAAGCACTGTATAAGTTTCATGTTTATATAAGTTTATTTTATAACATTCGCAAAATAATAGTCAATATTTACTGAGTGCTACTATGTGCCAGGCAGTGTTCTAAGCATTTCTTACATGTATTAACTCTTTAATTTGTAATGATCCTATTAAGTACTATCATCCCCATTTTCCCAGTGAAGGAATTGAGTCAGCGAGAGGTTAGGACTCTTGCCCACAGCAACAGACTCAATAATTAAGGTAGCACTGGAAACCGAGCCCAGCAGAACAGCTCCAAGACTCTCCATTCAATCCTTGCCCTCTACTTTTCTTTCCCTGTAGAGGGACAGGTGTGAGGAACTCTGTTCTGCAGGTGGGAAAATGGATGCTCAAAAAGGTAGTTTCTTGCCCCAGGCTTCTCAGCAAAACAGAGGCCTTTCCCCAGCCTTTCTGTTGGACAGCTCTGGGCTACCAGTGGGCCCAGAGCCTTGGGATGAGCTGAGCTGGCTAAACCAGCTCTGCTATCAGAAGCAGGCAGCTGGGGACGGTTTCCCCGCCCCCCCAACACCCACTGTATACCTGGGTCCCACAGATGAAGCGGACAGAGCTAAGGCCAGCTCCAAACTCCTCTAGAGCCTGCAGACCTGCCTGGATCACTTCAGGGTGGCTGCTCAGGCCCAGGTAGTTGTTGGCACAGAAGTTAAGGATTCCTGAGGTGGAAGAGAGACGGACACAGCAGCTTAGGCAGGGCAAGGGCAGGTCTGCAAAGATGACAGTGCCAGGCCCTGAGGAAATGGTCCAGAGAGGAAATGAACCTAGATTCACCCTTAAGGAGGCAGCAGTCACACAGTATGATCCATTCTGGGACAAAGGCCAGGATGGGGAGCTGGGAGTCCCCAGGAGGCAATGAATCCAACAGCTACAGCAGAGGGAGTGTCAGTACTGCACCTTGAAGGATGGAAAGTTTAAACTCGGGCTTTGAATCACATTCTACCCAAGGGGGAACCCAGCCTTTCCTCACAGGCTTCTCCTGTTCTTGAAGACCACCATGGCCCCTCATCTGGGCCTTGGTTTCCTTGTGGTAAAAGAAGAGGGCTGGGTCAGATGCCCACTGCAGTCTTTGAACTACACAGTTTACAATACTTCGCCATCTGGTACAGAATTGCATCCCCAAAGGCAGGTGCCTCTGAGACCCTAATCCCTGAATTTTAAAGCCCAAAGTGAACACAGCTGACTAAGGAGGGGAAGGTTCGCACTTCTTGACAAAGGTAAAAACAGGATGAGGACTTAGGTGTTCTAATTTCCCATCTTTTTGGCTGTTCCAAGCTTCCCCTGGGGGAGGAGAGGGATCTCCTGGGACCTCCACTTTACAAATGAGTACAACAGCACCAAAGATTCCAGCCTAGTTCCTGGGCAGAAGGCAGGTTTGGGGGCCTGTTGATAACCAGCACTCCGCTGCGGCTCAACACAAGAGGGGCAGTGACGCTGGTTAAAATGAAAGGAGGGAAACCTGGCAGGGCCAATTCATCATGTGCTTTCTATGGCAGCCCTGGGACCCCTTGCTCATTGTGACTTTGGTCAGGAAGTTGGCCTCTCTGGCGAGTCAGGCTATGTTGCAGCTTTAATATCCCAGCTCTGCCTGCAGCTAGCTGGGGGATTTGGGGCAAGCCACTTCACATTTCTGGGTTTCAACTTCTTTGTCTATAAAATGGAAGTAGTCATTCCTACGTTTAGAGGTTAGCAGGAGTCCACGTGCAGCAATTAGGAGAGGCCTTCACAAAGCAGCCGCTTGAGAAACGCGGGGTTTCCTACCACCCTCCCTTGAAGCGGCACGGTAGGAGCCAGCTGGGTGTCTCTCTCTTTTTCTCACGTCCTCCTGGGGCTGGGTCTTGGTCCAGCCCTGCCTCTAAACCAAACAGGTGCTCAAGGACACATCACCTCCCTCCGTGAAAACGGGTTTAACTAGGTTAGACTTAACACTGGGAAGCCATAAAGCCTGCCAGAGAGATAGCGACGGGACCAGTAGCTTTGTGTGCAGGTGCCACCCACCCACCCCCGTCTCCGAGACCTGCATTCGAGCGCAAGCCAGGGAAGGGCCCTGGAACACCCGGCCAGGTCCAACGGCTCCCGGGAGGGGGAGTTACCTCCGGAGACGCCGTCCACGTGGATGCGCGGTCCCTGACGGGAGGTGATGACCCGCTCACTCTTCCAGGTGCCCGCTCCGCGGATCCCTTCCAGCTCCGCCTCCAGGATGCCTCGCAGCTGGGCCAGTGCCGACTGCGCGCGGCGACCGCGGGGGGCTCCGGAGAGCGCAGCACGCCAGACGCCACCAGCCCACATCGCGCCCTCCTCGCCCGGCGCGCCTGCCCGCCGGAGTGCCCTGCTCACCGCGGCCGCAGCCTAGTCACGTGGCCGGGGGCCGGGCCCCGGCAGCCAATCGGGGCGAGAGGCGGGCCCGGGACGGGTGGGCGGGGTCCGGCGGGCTGCGCCAAGGACGAAGTGGATTGACTCGTAAGTTGAGACTGGCGAGGTCCGGGTGGCAGAGGAAGTCGCGTCAGGGCCCAGCCCACCGGACTCTCCACCCCATTCCCACACACCCACCTCTGAGGGAAATGGGGTGCTTTCTGGAACCCGAAGGCAGGAGCGTAGAAGCAGGCTGAGGAACGTTCTGCTCCTTTCAGCCCGAAGGTTTCCCGTTTCTGTCCAGCTCTTGAAGCCCCTCCCCCCATTCTCAGGTGGAAAAGCCCCAGGGTCCCCAGTGCCCGCCCACGCGGCCGCTCCGCATTCTGCTCCAGTCTTAAAAGTAAGGAAAAAATAACACCAGTCAGGTTTTTTCCTTTTCCAATTTTATTTTTTTTAAAATTACAAAGACAGCAAAATTTTCCCGGCACAAATAACACTTGCTTAAAAAAAAAAGGGGGGGACGCGCAAGTGCGCGATTTTCATGTGTAATTAAAATAAGATAAAGACAACTGTACAGGTTTTTTTCTCCCAGCGCCCGGGTGAAACGTAAGTACTAGTCCTAGATATGTGTGTGTATATGTGTGTGTGTGTATACACATGCACACAGACCTAGCTCTGTAAAGCTACTTAGCAAATTCAAAATTGACTGCAGTATGTCTTACTGTCCACTCCCCGCCCACTCCCCCTCCCCAGCTACAACTACTTATAAAAGACTCATAAGTAAAAAGGGGTCACGAGGTTAAGTGGCTGTTGGTGGGACTGGAGCCTCACCAGACCAAGCAAAGCCACCGCTTGTACAGGAGCAAAAAAACCAAAGGAAAATAAAAAGTCTTCCTGGGACGCAATTCACCAACTGTGTGGAAAAACCCAAGTTTCAACAGGGCACACTGAGGCACTTGGCTGACGCTCCCCACCCTTCCCCCAAAGTTTCCACTCCCGGTTAATAAGAGACGTTGCCGAAGCCACAAAGAGCCCCCCAATGGCTAGTTCCTAGCTGACTGGGAGAAGCTACAGCTTCTCCAACCAGGTGTCACTTTGTCTCCCCCACCCCCAGCCCCTTCCCCAAGACAACAGAGAGGCCACAAGGGCAGACTAACAGAAGTGAGAAGGAAACTGGGTCTGGACCCCCTTCTGCTCACCAGTGAGAGATGGAAGTCAGCCCCGGGACCGTTTTTTTTCCACCTCCCTCCTTTGCCCACTAGCTGCTGCCACCTTTTTCCTCTCCACCAAAGGTTCTGAAACCCACAAGGGGTGCCCAACTTGAAGCTTGCTGGCCTTAAAAATACTCCTACTAACCTCACAATTCCTGGGATCACTCTCATCTCGCCAGAACAAACTGCTTTGCTTGTTCTCTCCTCCCCCATCTTCGTAGAAAACAAACCATCTAACAAAACACACAAACCCACCAAAATCCCTAACCCGTAAGTAGATTAACATCAAAACAAAATGTAAGTACATTCTCATCATTACAGAGGTGAGACTTGTTGCTGTCCTTGCACAACTGGTTAAGGAAAAACGAATTATTCTGTAATTTCTGAGGAATCCAAATGCTGTCTCTTGAATAAAAAGGGGCAAAGGGGTGCAGATGAGAATCAAGAGAGAAAAAGGAGAAAAGTATTTACAGAAAATAGGAAGGAGTGTCCACAAGAAAAGGCTTCATTGTCACTTCTTGCTGGCCCTCTTGGCGCTGGACTTTGCTTTGGGCTTCACCGATTTGGCCTTCTTGGGCTTGGATACCTTGACTGGCTTGGCTTTGACAGTCTTGGGTTTTTTGGTTTTCCTGGGCGTGGCAGCCGGCTTCTTCTTGGCCTTCTTGACTGGGGCGGCTTTGGGTTTCTTGCTTGGGGCTTTGGAGGCTGCAGCCTTCTTGGGCTTGGCTGCCTTCTTTGGAGTGGCCACCTTCTTGACTTCCTTCTTGGTCTTCTTGAAGGCCACTGACTTCTTGGGCTCGTCGCTCTTGGCCAGCCGGAAGGACCCCGAAGCACCTACCCCTTTGGTCTGCTTGAGGACACCGGTGGTGACCAGACGCTTGATGGACAACTTGATCTGCGAGTCGGCGTTCTCACCCACCTTGTAGTGGCTCTTGATATACTTCTGGATGGACTGGCGCGAGGAGCCAGCGCGGTTCTTCTCCGCCTGGATAGCAGCCACGATCATGTCTGAATATTTGGGGTGGTCTGTGGACTTCTTGGAGGCCTTGGCCCTCTTAGGCTTGGCCGCAGGAGTGGACGTGGAGTTCTCGGTCATGGTGGCCTGCCTGGTCTGGCTGTTGAAAACGCTTGCCAAAGGGCCAGCCCTCGTCGGAGGCTGAGCGAAGCCTGCCTGGGGACCTGCTCTCGGGCCCCTGACTACCGAGCCAGTCCGGAGTCCGGCTCCCCGGGATGCGGGCGAGGAGGAGTCGCTGCTTTTCCTCCCCGGCTCGGGTGGCGGGAGGGCTCCCTGGACCGGCTCTGCGTGGCCAAGCCCCGCCGGTATGTCGCTCGGTCTCAGCGCCTGGCTCTGCCTCCGCTTCTGCTTCTGCCTCCGCCTCCTCTGCCTCCTTTTTCCCAGCTCCGCGTCTGGCGCTCGGGCGGCGCATCCGGGTATTTAGCGGCGGCGGGCGGACCGCGGTGAGGACAGGGCTGCTGGCTGCCTGCTCTCGGCCCGGAATGGCGCCGCGCCGCCGCCATCTGTGTTTCTTCCGCCTAGCAAATCCGACCTTTCCCCCCGATCCCGGCCTTCTTGCTCCCTGCCGCCGTCCGGGGCCGCTGCCTGGCTCCCTGGGCTTCCTTGCTGGGCGGCCCGCCGACCAGGCAGCCGCTCCCCGCGCCCGCCACGCGCCCCAAACGGCGCCGAGGACCGCTGGTGTGCTGGCACATTTCCCCTTTGCGGGGGTCTGGCCCTGCGGTGCTGGGGAGCTCCGGTGAGGGAAACCCCCCGTAGCAAAGCTCTCTCCTGGGGCTACCGGTTACCCCGCTCCCGGCCCGCTGGGGGGCCCCCCAGCCCAGTGGAGCAGCCGGAAAGTGACCCCAACTAACACACACTGCCTGAAGCTGGGCGACTCCCAGCCGGGCCCAGCCGGGACAGGGGGGAGGGGTCGCTCCCCCGGGGTCCAGTCACCTCTCGGGGGTCACCCTGCCACCGGCCCCCCCACACCCCTGCCCCTCTCTGTCCATGGGGCCCCCATGAAAACATTCCCTGGAAGAGTTGGAAGGGCACTTTCGAACTTTGTCCCTTCCCCCTCTTCTGTCATCTCTCCCCCAGCACGGCCCCCTGGACCTCTGCATCGAGGTTCCCTCCTGAGACCAAACCCCCAGTGTTGCCTGGCCCCCCTGAGAGATGAGTAGGGGCCTCCCGGGTGGCGTCCTCCCCTCAAAGACCCCCATATTTCCCATATATCCTCACTGGAAATTCATATATATGTCTCCCTCAGCCTGGGAGTTTTGAGGTGTCAGAGACAGAGCTCACTGGCCCCCACCCTTGAGGCCCATTCCGGGGGTCTAGTCACCCTCCCAAGGCTCCTTAAAGGCAGTGTGTGTGTATGTGGTGGGGGTGCAGTTCACACTGGAGGGGCTACCCCAAAGCCTCTAACCAGGGACCGTCCTGGGGGCCGGTCCCTGAGTGCTTTGGGGACTTGGGAAAACGGGGCGCTGAGGGAGAGGTCGAGGCTCGGGTTCATGTGCCTTAGGTTGTAACTAATCCTCAGCATGTGCAGTCATTCAGGGAGCCATGGCGGGGACCACCGCCATTTTGCTGGGAAGATGCAAGGTCTTTGTTAAAATGTATACATCTTTTCCAGTGCAGCTCAGCAGGTATATAAGAGGTGGACACGGGGCTCCACTGTCTGTAGGGAGTCCTGGGGCTCTGAGGGACTTTAGGGGCCCAGAGGCCAGAGAAAGGGACCCCAGAGACCCTAGGACCCCTTGTCTGCGGTCAAAGTCCCGCTTGGTAGCGGCCCTGGGCTGAGATTCTGGGATGCTTGCTCCCTGTGCCCCCTCCCACAACAACCCCCCTTTTATTCCCTAAGCGAAGGGGCCCATCACTCTTAAACAATACCGTGGGAGTGGCGGTTTATGGGTCAAAATGATGAACGCAGCTCAGGTATGGTCTGGGAGCTGTTTACAGACACGGGGCGGCCTGCTGGGGACGGGGGAGGGGAAGAGGTTCAAGGGGTTAGCTGGGGGGACTGGATCCTAGCCGGGGGTGGCGGTGGAGAGCTGGGGGTGGGGTTCCTACTGGGCCTGGGAGTCTCTGACGCCAGGGCAAATTAATGCCCCCCGCAATACACACACCAAGGGATGGATTAATCCAAATGCCTGGGGGAGGAAGGGGGAAGGGAAGCTCAAGACTTGGTGTCAGATGCCTTCTCCCAGGCTTATCTCCGTGGCACAGGCCTGGAAGGGAAGGCCAGGTTAGTTCAGAAGGGCAAGGTTCTTACTTTGATGATGTCAAGTACCCCGAAATTTCCTGACTTGAAAACACAACATTCTGGTGGGTTTGTCTGGTTTGTTTTCAGACAATTCTCCTGGTTCCCAATAAGATGTGGATGGGGAAATATGCACCCAAATAGCCACCCTCACATCCAAGATGTTGTTCCACCCTGCGTTCCCAGAGACATGTCAACGTGTCACCCTCCCCACCCCCAACCGTCACTCCCGTCTGTGCCCTGTCTTAGAATAAGGACTGGATGAATCCAGTGACCGATGATGAATAATTCTATTTGAACAGCGCATTACAGTTCGCAAAGTGCTCTCCACCGGTTTCTTGATCCTTTGCGCCTCCTGCCTGTGATCACTGCCCCCATCACCCCCATTTTATCATGGAGGCTGCAGGATTTGGAAGGATGGATGGGGGAGCACTGTGAGGCTCAGCTCCCTGCGACCCCGGGCCTTCGTTTGTAGCTCTCACATTCCTTATGCCTGCGCATCCCAGCGACCTGTAAATTCCTTCCGGGAACTGAAGCCCGAATGGGGGGAGGGGTCGCCTCGGGTTGCGGGGTCTTCCAGTAGGTGGGCGCCCCTCCTCCTTCCTGGCGGCGAGATTCACCGCCCCTTCTTCTGTTCGGGGAATTGGGGGGAAGGGAGGGGGTTCCCCGGGGCTTGGGCGCTGAGTCCAGGGCCGAGGGGGGCAAGATGAGGAAAGGCTGCCTCCAGATTGGCTTGGCCTCGGCTCGCCCCGCGGACACTGCAAGGCCTGGGGCGCTTTTTGACTCTGGCCCGGCCCTACCCGGCCCCCCGCCGAGCGCAGAACGGTTTTCCAGCGGGCAGACAGCGGACCTCCCCCCATCCCGCCCCCTTTAACGCGAGGCCCTTAAAAACCCGGGAGCCGCGAGCCGCGGGCAACTGCTCCTGGGAAATGTAGTCCCCAGCCCGGAGCCCCGCGCTGCGCCCCCAGCCCGCGACCCTCGGGAGCCTCGCGAGCGCCGCGCCACTCTGGGCATGGGGAGGGCTTCGGACAGCCGTGCGGAGGGCCCAGGCCTCCCCGCTGTCGGTCGATCGTAGGCCTCAGTTTCTAACCTGTCAAAAAGGGTCCTCTACCTCTGGGGTTAGTTGAGGGTGAAAGGAAATCTTGCGTGGAAAAGTAGAAATTGCATTAGAATGCCAAGAGTCATGTCCGTACCAGTGTGTGTGTGTGTGCGCGCGCGCGCGTGCGTGTGTGAGTGAGCATTACTGATCCCTTGACACATGACATCTCCATGTTACAGACAGGAGGCTCCCTGGACACTTAATGACTCACCCAGGACCGACAGGCTCCCTAGGCAATATCCTGTCCACTGCACCATGGTGGTCTTGTTGTGAGACCTTGGCAAGACATCCTCTCATTCTGGGCTTTGGAACCCTAACATATTCTTTAAGATGCGCCAGGCTGGGTGCGGTGGCTCACGCCTGTAATCCTAGCACTCTGGGAGGCCAAGGCGGGCGGATTGTTTGAGCTCAGGAGTTCGAAACCAGCCTGAGCAAGAGCAAGACCCCGTCTCTACTAAAAACAGAAAGAAATTAGCTGGACAACTAAAAATATATAGAAAAAATAATTAGCTGGGCATGGTGGCGCATGCCTGTAGTCCCAGCTACTCGGGAGGCTCAGTCAGTAGGATTGCTTGAACCCAGGAGTTTGAGGTTGCTGTGAGCTAGGCTGATGCCACGGCACTCTAGCCGGGGGAACAGAGTGAGACTCTGTCTCAAAAAAAAAAAAAAGATGTGCCAGACACTGGTATAGGCACTGGGATGTGGCCATCAACAACGGCACAAGTGATCCCTGCCCTCGTGGAGCTGGAATTCTAGTGAAGAAAACAGATACACAATAGATGACACAAAGAAGTAAATGACACAGTATGTTGGAAGGTGATCACTGCAAAGAAACACTTGCAGCAGGGGTGGGGTGGAGGAGGAAGGGGGTGGAGGCAGTGCTGAGCGGAGGTGCTTTGCAATTTTAAATAGGGCGGGCAGAGAAGCCTCAAGAAGGTGATGTTTAAGCAAAGCTTTGAAGGAGGTGGGGGGGGTAGTCTTAGAGGAAAAATCTTCCAAGCAGAGGGAATAGCATGTGCAAAAGTCCTGTGGCAGGAGTGTGCAGTGGCCGAATCAAGGAGGACAGTGAAAGGAGATGTGCACCTCGTGCAGGGTTTTGTGGGCCATTGTAGGGACTTTGGGCTTTTACTCTGAGTGAGATGAGAGCCACTGGAGAGTTTTGAGCAGAGGAGGGATGTGATCTGACCCACAGGCAACAGTCAACCACAGTAAATTCTGGATGCTGTATGGAGAAGAGACTGTAAAGGGGGTGGGGGTGGGGCAGGGTTTGAGGCCATTGCATCATCCAGGTGAGAGACGCTGGTGGTGTGGCCCAGATGGCTGCAATGGAGATGATGATCAAAGGGAGTGAAGCCAACAAAAGAGGATGGAGGACGGGGCCTGGGGACACCAACGTGACGTGGTGGGAGTTAGGTGGAGGCACCAGCAAAGGAGACCAAGAAGGAACAACCAGTGAGGAGGAAGAGGCCAACTGTGTCCAATGCCGCCGGCCAGGGCAGCAAAGACCATCGTCCATCCCTGTGGAGTAGTGGTTGTCCTCATCTGGAAAATGAAGATGTTTGACCAGAGGACCTCCCAGAGCCCTCGTAGCTCTCCAGGACTTGCAAACAGGGCTCTTGGGGCCACGGGTTCAGCCTCCAGCTTTTCTTTCTTTTATTTTTATTATAAAAATTATTTATTTCTGCTGCTTTCACACATCTTATTGTTCAGGAAACAGTCTCGCACACATCTGTGAAATGACGTACCATCGCAATCTGTTCAAAGGCTAAGCACCGTAGGTGAGGCTGACCAGCTGTCCGAGTTCTCGGCTCATGCCTCTTGCTTCCTGATTTTACATTCATTTCTGAAAATCAGAAACGTAATCTCCAAAAAATGTTAAGGGGGTTGTAAAAATAATCGTTTTATTCAGTATTATAGTTGTAGACATGGAGTATATTTTAAGAAATGAAAAATTAAGAAAACGCCACTTAACATCATTGATACGTCAGTATAGTTCTGCAGGAAAAAATACTGTGATAAACTTGTGTTTGACACCAAGAAGAAATTCTAGTCCAAGCTTGACTACACTTCACTAGATACTTCTTTCACTGCTGCTCTTCATTCTTTTCCACATTTCATATCAGAGGATTGGTACAGCCTTTAAAACTTCATTAACGGGAGCAAATCCAGTATCC